GACCGAGAAACTTCTATTGTTGGCCAACTCTCTGGGAATGAAACAGGTGGAGAACCATAACAAATACCTGGGATTGCCTACTGTAATAGGTAGAGGAAAACGAGCTGTGTTTGATGTCCTAATAGACAGAATAAGAAAGAAAATTAAACATTGGAAAGGGAAAACTCTGTCAGCAGCAGCCAGAGAGGTATTGATAAAAGCAGCAGCTTAATCTCAAGCTACCTATATATACGATGTCAGTGTTTCAGGTGCCTACTGGTGTTCTTGATGAGATAAAAAAAACTTATTTCTACCTTATGGTGGGGACAGCAGAAGGAAGAGAGAAGGATTCCTTGGAAAGCTTGGAAAAAAGTGTGTAAACCAAAGGAGGAAGGCGGGATGGGTTTTAGAGACCCGAAAGCATTTAATCTAGCTCTATTGGGAAAACAGGTCTGGAATCTCTTTACCAATCCAGAATCCCTGGTTGCTAGAATGCTCAAGGCAAAATACTATCCTAACTCGAACATCCTACAAGCTAGAGTGGGGCACAACCCGAGTTACACATGGAGGAGCATTATGTCAGCACAACAATTGGTGAGGAGTGGCCTAAGATGGAGAATAGGGGATGACTCACAAGTGAATATATGGGGGGGGGGATAAGTGGATAGTAGGAGGAGAGGATTCAGGTTATAGGCTGTTAAGACCTGGAATCAGAGGAGATAGTTAAAGTCTCTATGTTAATTGATCATGAGAATAGAACCTGGAGAAGCAATCTTCTCCAACTTTACCTAAACCCAGAAGATAGAAGGAGGATCATAGGGATCCCTATTCCCAGACAACCTGCAGCTGATGAACAGGTTTGGAGAAAAGAGAAAAATGGTGTCTACTCAGTCAAATCGGCATACAAGCTTGTCATAGAGGGCCTAGCCATCTTACACGTGGACGTCTCTCAAGATGGGGATCTAGCAGAAGAGGATGGTGAGATTGAACACGACGACCCTATGAACTGGAAGAGGCTGTGGAGTCTTGTAATTCCCCCTAAGGTCAGAATTTTTCTCTGGAAAACTACTCACAACATACTCCCTACTGGGAAAAACATCGAGGGACGAAAGAAGGATGCTGCAATAGAATGGCCCTTTTGCCACCAAGAGGAAACACAAAACCATATCTTCAGGGAGTGTCAATGGGCAATAAGGGTTTGGCGATCCTCTATGTTTTGACCCCTATTCGAATTAGAGCCTGAACTGTCAATGTGAAATTGGCTATGTGAAATAATGGAGAAGATCGATGACGATACTGTAACACCCCGACCTTTGAGTTCAGGTTCGACCAAAATACGTGAACAGTTTGATTGACGGTTACGTACGAAGGGTGACAATCGTGGATTAGGAACAACAACAACAATAATAATAATAATAATAACTATTATTATTTCATCATCATTATTATTATTATTATTATTATTATTATTATTATTTATTATAACAAAACCTAAACTTTCAATGTCGTCGCTCGATACAAAAGAAAGCTGGGATGGACATGGGAGAAACAAAGTGCCCCCCACCTCTCTTCCAACCTCCTTGACCCGCACAAAACAATGTGGCCGATTCCCGCCGATCACCACAGTAACATAAATCCGTATGGACCTAGAGACTACGAGTTGCGGTGGAGAGAAGTTGAATTACGCCTTCCAATTTATGGAAACCTCATGGTTTGTGACGAGCGGGGCAATGCGCTGATGGGACTCAAAGTTTGTAGGGAATAAAATTCCCTTCTGTCAACCAGACTGGCGAATGTTCTAATTGGACACGACATGGGGAGAGTTAAATCGAGCAAGTGGAGTATGGTTTTGATTTGGACGCAGGATGGGGTTATGGCCGAGCAAGCCTGCAACGAACAGAGGAAAATCGATTCCGAGACAGTAGTTGATTCAATTCAATCAGCTTCATTACAAGGTGAGTGTAAAGGGGGTAAAATCTCCACCGAGGTCTTTTTAGTTTATGCTTTTCGTTTCAAGCTAAGTTATTATTTAGTTAATTTGTGAGTTATGCGCATTATGTGTTTGAGGCATCCCACTACCTTCTGAAGGTGGAGGCACACGTTGTGATTGTATTTGTATGAATGTATGTGATGTTGTATGGATTGATGGTATGAGGAACCCCCAGGCGGTTGGGCCACTACTGGACGCGGTAGATGGTCGGGCCACTGCTGGACGGCGAGACGTAATGCAGCAGTTGATCGAGTATGTTGGGGTCACTACTGGATGGTGAGACGTAACGCAGTAGTTGACTGGGTATGCAACCGGACGGCGAGACATAATGCGGTGGTCCTAGTGTCTTGTTTTTGAGTTAAGGATAGAAGTCGAGAACTTCTATGAGTTATGTCAGAATAAAGTGTCAAGGATAGAAGCATATAACTTCTATAAGATAAGGTTAGGAGTAATGATTCCATAAGTTATTGAGTAATAAATTAAAGTATGAAGGATGAAAGCGAAAATGACTTTCGTCTAAGAGAGGAAACCCGCTAATAATGTGTTTAGTATGGGTTTGCTTAGGGCAAGACCTTAACAAGTAACGACGAGACTGGCCACTTCTCACTCACCAGGTTGAGGAAGGGTTAATAGGCGTGTTTTTTGAGAAGAGGCAGAATGAGGCGAGCAGCCGTACCAACGTGGACAAGGTCTCAAGAAGCTTAGTGAGGAGTTAGAATAAGAGTTTGTTCAGTTAGTTATGTTTATGATTATGAGTATAACTGGAGGTTCAAAGGTTAATCTTTATTGACCATGTTTTTGAGGTCGCCCACGTGTTTAGGGCATCACATTTGATGTTGTTCTTGTAAATGATCAAGTTTTATTTTAATTTTGAGCTTTGTTTTTAACTGGATCCGGAGCCATAAGTATTTCGGTTGAGTAAAAGTATCAGGATGTTTCAGATACTCTCGCTCAAGTGGGAATGCTCCTTTGGACGATGTGGAATGAAAGGAATAATCAATTGTTCAACAACAACAAGGCGGAAGAGTGGGAGAATGTTCAAAAGGCGCTTAATTATTGGGAGGAGTTCACAGATCACCATCTTCAAGCTACTGTCGAGAAGGTGGAAGAACTACGTACCTGGAAGCGCCCACCAGCGGGCTGGGTAAAGTTCAATGTGGACGCGGCGGTGCTGAAAGAAGGAGGGACGAGTTTAGGAGTGGTAGCTCGTGATTAGGACGGGAATTTCGCCATGGTGGCAGTCCGCAGGGAGCGCAACTCCTGGACACCGGAGCTGGCAGAGCTTCGAGCCATCGAAATTCGGCCTGGAAATGGCGAGGGAAGAGGGTATCGTCGCTGTGCTGGTGGAATCAGATTGTCAAAATGCCATTCTCAAGTTACAAAGGCAGGAGTCTTTGAGACTGGAGACAGGTGTGCGTGTGAGGGAGATTCAAGATCAGGCGAATCAACTTGGTTCGGCTGAATGGTGGTTCGGTCGACGGGAAGGGAACCGGGCAGCACATGCAATGACACATGTCAGATATGATTGGGAAACCCATGAGAAATTGGTTGAAAGACCACCAATTTTTCTGTTGGATCTGTTATCAAATGAGGCTCTAGCCCATTAATAAAATTTCAGGAACTTTCTATAAAAAAAACTAAGAAATACATAATGTTAGATTTCTCAAAACCAGAGTAGAATCGCAATTTTAATTTTTTTTAATCAATTCGTAGTACCGAATGCTCAGCGATCCACAAAACTGTGGTGCGATCACCGCATATCACGATAGGACCGACGTTTCTATCTAACAACAACAACAAACATTGTGACCCTACCTTTAGTGTAGATGAACCTTAACAGACAGCTACGGGTACCAAACTCAGATTGTGCTTGTTCTGTCAACTATACTGGTATCTCTCATACGTGCAAAAAGGGTTGCTAGCAAACCATTTTTAGGGTTTGTAAGTGTAACCCAAAAGGGAAGAAAGAAAACGAGAATGGGTTGCTTTCATGTGCCTATACCTCGTATTCGATCAGTCGACTCCATTGAAGGTCCATGTGGCGGGATGTTTGGCGAAGATTCTCTACGACCGTATGGCATTATAGTAGCAGCGCTTTTAATCTGGCTTCACAAATATAATATGATGCTTCAAAAGAATGCAGATGAAAGCCACCATTAGAGTGTACCATATCATCTAAGAAGTTAGAACAGGTAACATGCTTTGTTAACATAGGTTATATCATTCTCTTTTCATATTAGAGATTAAGATCATGTCCAAAACAATGAGAAATCGAACGGTTCTCTTACAAAGATAAATTAGGTCTTGACATTCAATTCGAACATAATATTCCTAGTCGAAGTGATATGATTTAGTGGTGAATGTTAAAGAGAGGGTGCCTTATAAGTTGTATAGGTCTCTTGTTTTAATTCGGGGTTTGCAATGACCCATTCTAGTATTGGAACCAAACTATGAGAACTGTGGTCCAAAGGTAAAAGAAATATTAAAAACCAAGAATCGATCCATCATTGTATTCGATTTAATTTGGTCTGGTTCCAAATATCATTTTGCTTCAAAATTTCTTCAATGAAAAATATTTGTTGTCTTTAGAGGAGTCACATCACCTAATTAATCGTGGAGTTTATCCACACAATTGAGTGTTTATTCTCATAAGATTTGTCATTATTCACGCACATGGAATCCCAAACTTTTTCGGCCTCCCCCACCCTCAATTTTCCCTAAAAATGAGTTGCACTAATCATAATCTATAAAATGACATCAGTTTTTATATATTTCAAAAATTATTTTAAAATGATATCAATAAATAATGACATTTGTGTATAAATACCAAGTTGCACGAATAATTACCAATACAACGTGAATAAACACAAAATTACATGAATAAATACAAAAAATACATGAATTAGGTGCTTTGATGACACCTCTAGAGACAACCTGAATTTAAATCCAGAATAAACCGATCTAAATATTTGATTTGATCAAGTACAATAGGTGTCTACCAAACGGTTGCACTTGCACACCTAGTTGTGATCCAATAATGGTTGCTCTCAGTCTCTGGTCTTCCCTCTTCTCCCTTTGTATGTTTAATCCAATGGACACCGTGGCAGGCTGGCAGCCCTAAGGGTCACGAAGACGACAGTGACATCGTCGGTGCTTTCTTTTTCCCAGACTTCGTGACCATTAGTATCCACTAGTATCCTTCGTTCGCATTTCTCCTCTGTTCTCTCCGGCGCCTCTCAGCTGTCTGAACTGATTCAATTTCCGACGAATTGAGTGTCTGGTCGGGATATTCCCCATAATTGGTGAGCATCCTCCCTTTTTTTTTCTTTTCTTTTTTGCCTTTTGGCCGCACTTGTTTGGATCCCGGTGCTTCAATTCTCACAAATTGAGCAAAAGGGTATTGGCTTCCTTTGTCGCCAGAATCGAAAGTTGATCGCTTTTTCCCTTTTTGGTATGGTTGATTCGGTTGGCATTCGGTCGGAGCAGTGAGGTGGAGTTTTTGAATGCTGAGGGAGAAGCTGCGACGTGTTTGAAATGAGCTGCAGTGCATGATGAGGAAGGTAGCGAGGAAAGTTGGGAAGTATGAGGTCGGCAGGACGATCGGCGAAGGGACTTTCGCCAAGGTTAAGTTCGCTCGGAACATGGAGACTGGTGAAAGCGTCGCCATTAAAGTGATGGCCAAATCCACCATTCTCAAAAACAAAATGGTCGACCAGGTGCTGCTCTCATTCTCCCTCTGCTTAGTTGATTTACTGCTGAACAAAATGGGTAATTCACAAGGCGACGAATGGGATGGAAATTAACCCCATTTTTGCTTTACCTGAGCTTAATACTTGATAAAGAAGTGTTATAGGTTGAGCAGGATGGACTTCGTTTATCCCTTGATTCTTATGTTCTCATGGGAATTGTTGATTTTGGGTTTCAGATTAAAAGAGAGATATCGATCATGAAGATTGTCAGGCATCCTTATATTGTTAGGTTGCATGAGGTACTCTTTCCACTCAGCCTATTTGGTGATTTAGCAATGAACCTTTAGCAATAGTCCTACATCATTGTGTGCCCCTGTGGTAAAGCAAGTAACTTTTTGTTCTATGCAATACTGCTGTTTGTGTAACTAGGTTTTGGCAGGTCGGACGAAGATATATATCATTCTTGAGTTTGTTACTGGAGGAGAACTGTTTGATAGAATTGTAAGTACCTATTCAACAGACTTCTTTGCTTTTTCTCCTTCTCCTTCATTTAAAAGTTCAACCGACCAGCTGAAAGTTCCTAATTGCACAGAAATTATGCTTATTCTCCTTTTCCTTTAAGTAAAATGCACATATTATCATTGTCATTGTAGTGCATATAAACAAACCCCAGTTAGTTTGTTGTTATGTACTCAGAAGTTTGGAATGCGGTTGTTGCTTCGATAACTATTCTTAACATGTCCAGAGCCTAATTGAAACTTTTTCCTTTTACGGGCTTCCAGGTTCACCAAGGAAGACTTAAAGAGCATGAGGCAAGGCGATACTTTCAACAGCTTATAGATGCAGTGGATCACTGTCATAGTAAGGGTGTGTACCACAGAGATCTTAAGGTGAACGACTGTATGGAAGAATTAACTTCGTCGTTCAGGAAGTTTAATTTGGATGTTCTGAGACTAATCAGGCATTTCCTCCCGTTTGTAGCCTGAAAACCTTCTTCTTGATGCTGCCGGGAATTTGAAAGTTTCTGACTTTGGATTGAGTGCGTTGCCTCAGGATGTAAGTAGCCAGTTACTTTTTCTCCAAAAAAAAAAAAAAAAAAAAAAAAGTAGCCAGTTACTACCTTAATTTGCCACTGGTTTTTTGTCTAGGAAATTCATTGCAATCAATCCGATACAACATTCATCTGTGATGCAGGGTGTTGGTCTTCTCCATACTACCTGTGGTACACCTAACTATGTTGCCCCGGAGGTACTGTTGTAAGCGAACATGAAATATATGTTTTTAACTCACTGCTTGATGTTGGGTTCTTGATGTTTTTCGTATTCACTCATATAGTCAAGGACCCAATGTTGTCTCTACGGTGTGTGTCTTGAGGCGTGTGCAAAGTTTTTGGCAGTTATTCCCCTAGTAATATCATGCAGAAGAAAATGAGTCGGTTGGTTCAAGAGCGACTTAGTTTTCTGAGATTGAGGAACTGTCTTTCAGGTGCTGAGACCAAGGATATGATGGGGCAGCTGCTGACATATGGTCATGTGGAGTAATCCTCTATGTTCTGATGGCTGGATATCTTCCATTTGACGAGACAGATCTTCCAACTCTGTACAAGAAGGTTAGATTCTGTTTTTATTTTCTTGGCAGAGCTGAGTGGGTTTCCAGATTTATAGGGTACTTCATGTCTAAAATTAATGGTTCTCAAAGCACTAGGGTACAGACATTCATACATTAGCATGTCATAAAAGTCCAGCTGTGCATATTTTGCTGCAAACTATTCTATGGATGTAAATTACCTGCTACCTCTAACTCCTTGACGATCAATTAATTTCCTTGTGAAATTGTACCTCTATCACAATCTAGAAGGGGGCGCGGCTTATAAACCAATCCTTTCTTCTAACATTTCTGTTTTGAGGCATTCCTGCCTCGGGATTGCTGTTTCGTCTTTATAGATAAAATTGCTGATCTCTTGTTCATTTGCAGATAAATGCTGCAGAGTTCAGTTGTCCTTTTTGGTTTTCTCCGGAGGCAAAGGCCCTGGTAGATAAGATACTCACTCCTCATCCGAAAGAAGTGAGTACTATTTTTCTCGGTGAAATAACTATTTCGTGATGTACATAGTAAGTTGTTAAACTGCTGTTCTCCTCAAGCTGCATGATTAAAGCACATGTTGTAAAAGTTGTGTCTTTGAATTCATTTTTCATTTATCACAGGAGGTCAACCTTCCAGGCTCATATTCATGATTGTAGTTGTAATGTACCATCTTTTTCTTCCTTTTGCCGTAAAGCATTAACAAATCTAGCTAAGGTTACACTACGTGTCAGCTTCTTGGTGGAGTAAAAAACTGAGAAAAACTATTTGGTACCTAGTTTTGACTTCCAAATATCAATGCTATGATGTGCTTTAATTTAAGTACCTAAATATCCTGCAGCGCATAAGGATAAATGGAATTAGAAGAGATCCATGGTTTCGGAGGAACTACGTGCCTGTGAAACATACTGAAGAAGTGGAAGTGAATCTGGATGATATTCGTGCAGTTTTTGATGACATCGAGGTGGGCCAATCATGCTCACCCCAGATATACTTATGCAAGCTTCTGAACTCTGATTGGTATCTTCATATAATCCTAGTGTTCTTCATATTACAGGACCAATATGTAGCAGAGAAATCAGAATGCAGCGACACTGGACCATTACTAATGAATGCCTTTGAGATGATTACCCTTTCCCAAGGGCTAAACCTATCAGCATTGTTCGATAGACACCAGGTGTATAAAAGTTCTTCAAGAATCACATACATGGAGTGCATAAATTTGAAAGTCCTGCTTTCTCTTAACAAGCCGGCCAATTATTTTTTTTTATCTTAGTTTTGCTTCTGAATCAATCGTCTGAGGGCATCAAATTTCCCAAGTGCAGGACTATATAAAGAGGCAGACTCGTTTTCTATCCCGTAGACCAGCAAAGGATATAATCTCATCAGTCGAAGCAGTTGCTGTCTCACTCGGTCTCAAGGTTCATACACGTGGTTACAAGGTCCGAGCTTTTCTGAACGTACCTCTATTTTCCATAAGCTTACTAGTGTTGCCGTCACAGTATAAAGTTTCCCCTTCCTAGATCATCCACGTCCTGCTAAATCTGCATTATGGACTTCCAATTATTAATAGAGGCAGAAAATATGTATATGCATAAAATGAAGAAAGCAAATAGAGAAGGAATTTGCAACCGAAATCGTGTATCAGTTCTACACAAATATCCCACCTGAAATATGCCGGCAGACTAAAAAACTATCTTGCAGACGAGGCTTGAAGGAATGTCAGCGAATAAGACAGGCCATTTGGCAGTAGTGTTGGAGGTACTCTCCTCTACAGGTTCCAGCCGTCGTCTCTTTCCCAGCCTTTCTGTTCTCCTGACCAGATTCATTCTTTGCCTTATGTTTCTGTAGATCTACGAAGTCGCACCTTCACTGTTCATGGTAGATGTCAGGAAGGCATCCGGGGAGACTCTCGAGTATCACAAGGTAGGTACCTCTCAAGTATGATCATCGCCTAGTTGGCTAGTTCGTCTCTGCCACTGTAATTGTGCTTTCTTGAGACGATCAGAGTCATTTCGAAATGTGGTGGTGTTTTGTGGTGCTGCAGTTCTACAAGAGCTTCTGTGCGAAGCTCGAGGATATCATATGGAAGCCAGCAGAAGGAGCAAACTCGAACCTGCTTCGGACCATAACTTGCTAATCCAGACTCCAGAGTGGGGAAAGGTTTCTCTGGGCTTCAAGCAAAGCTAGAATAAAACTGTAATTAATCTCTCTCTACATGTTGGTTCGATCTTGATTTTTTGACAGCCATGTATCGTCGTTGTCTGCATATATCACTGTGTACTTACAAAGGGTTACAGAAACTGTAGTCTATCAGAGATGGTAATATTGAGCTCTGGGTTTCTAGTAAATTTGCTCTGTATTTTTTTTTTTTTTTTGCATTTCTATTTTTTTTTTTTTTGTTCATAATGATTATTACCAGAATCTCTCCTCATAAACTGCTCGCATATATACGGTAAACAAATAAAAGAACCAACTACATCACCAAAAACAATAACAAATAATGCTCACATACATGCAAAAAACAAATAGAGCCTACTCCATCATTATGAACAAAAGTATTGGGTAAAAAAAAAACAATGAAAACAAACTGTGTAGAGGAAGGAGTAATGACTAATGCAATAAAGTTATCATTAACTTGATTTCTATGTAATACTTCAGAGTAGTTGAAATAGTTGAAATGGTTTTGATAACTCGTAAAAGATCATACCCTGGGAAATAACTTGTCTGTGTTGAAAACATGTAGTTCTTGAGTGAAACCCATATAACTTGGACGAAAATTCCAGAACAAATCGTAAAAAAAAAAAAAAGCATCTTTATCAAACCACATTGAGAAAAACCCACACGAGTTTCAGATGCTCAATTCTTGAAATATACAATTCTTAATAATACCGCTCTTCCCAACGAAACTACAAATAAGATGCTAGTAAACACACACATTAAATGTGAAATTTATTGTCAATCTTACAAAAGAAATATTTTGATAGGTGATGTTGGTTTGGTACAACATGATATTACTTATTATATTTTTGTAAGCGATACCAATTTGACAAACATATTTCGCCGAATGAAAAGTGAAATATGTTCTACAGAAGTGTAATAGGACACAAGATAGGTTCACATAACTTATGATTCATTAATAAATTGAATTCTATAGTTGGGCGAAACTCAGACTCCATTAGAATTTTAGTTATAATTTTCCTTGCGACGATCTGAGTGGTACTTAAATGAAATGAACATATGTCTGATTTTTTGGATGAGTTTTAGTTTCTGGGTGGGATTTGTTTTCTCCCTCTTTGGTTTTTGTTTGTGTTTCTGTTGCGCCGCTGTTGTTTCTTCCCTTTCCTTTTTTGTTAATAAAAATTATATCATCCTTATAAAAAAAAAATGAAATGAACATATGTCAATTAGTGTGAAATTGGAAGTGTTTGTTTTATTGTGATGTCACTTGCTTGTGGTAAAAGTGTAAAACCCACCGGATGATTCTAGGCTTGGTGCTTTGGGTGGCTAATTGGTTGGATGACCATCGAGCCGGTCAACAAGCTAAAACAATGAATGAATGCATGACCATTGATTCAATTGGTAGATTAAGATTCCTTAGCATCATAGGAGAATAGGGTAATGCATATATTCGTTGCAATTTGACTCGATCTGAAAAAGAAATGTACTTTCAAATCATAGAACTACCAGAGATGGTATTATTGAGCTCTGGGCTTCTAGTAAAGCTGTAAATAGTATCCCGTAGGTACAACTAAGATTGAGCTCAACAAAAGTAGAACACGATCATCCGATCAAATTTAATCCCATCTCAATACGAGTACAATTTGTTTTGCTTTAGCAAGAGAGGACCAAGTATATGTTGAAACGTCCAACACCATATCTTCGTCTGTAACTCTTATTCTGCCAACTGTATCTCTTTTTATAACATTCACATCTTTAAACTGATGGCGCCAACACTTGCATTCGATTTCACGACTATTAGAATCTCTCTCCATAAACTGCTCGTATATGTACTACCAACAAATAGAAGAACCAATTCTCGGAATATGAAACTCCTCGTGAGGTTCCTTCCAATAAAACTGCATATAATTGGGGTCGTTTGGATGTGGAAATGTAATGTAATAATTGGATCCAATTACCATATAATGCAGTAATTGGGTTAAAAACCCACGTTTGGGAGAGCAAAAAGAGTATGGGAATTGGACCATGAAAATTGGCTTCAATTACCACATTCATGGTAATTGAGAATACTACATCTGTCCCTAGTAATTTGACATTACCACGTTTTCTTACCTTTTTTTTTCCAAATTCCACACTATCAATTCCCACAAAACTAAACCCTATCCAAACATGAATTTTTTTCCAATTTCCATAAGTTAATTCCTTGGTTTTGTAAAACATGGAAATTCAGACAAATTCCAACGTTTTCAAATTTCCACATCCAAACGACCCACATATTAAATACAAAAGAATTTCTCTAGTCAATTTTATAAACTCCTTTAATGGTATTAAGATAAGTTGACATACCTCATCACATATTCCAACGAAAGAAAGCGACATGTTTTATTGAAGTGAAAATGGGTATAAGATAAGTTCGCATATCTCAGGACGTAGTCAAAAATTGAATTCAAGAGTCCGGTGAAACTAGAGCTGTCAAAATGTAACCTGACCCGAGTAACCCGCTCGATCAACCCGACTCGCAACCCGCCCGCAATCCGATTTGACTAAAAGTCAATGACCCGTAACCCGCCCGACCCGCAACCTAATCGACCCGCAACCCGACCAACCCGCAACCCGATCGACCCGCAACCCAATTAATCCGAAACCCAACCAACCCGCAACCCGACTAACTCGAATCCGTAACCCGACCAACCCGCAACCCGACTATAATAGAAGGAATTCGATGAAGATAAACCAAAAGTTGACATTTGAAATTCTAGTTCACTAAAGTCTGATCATTACATCATCAATTATTGACTTAGTATAATAATATACATCATCAACCTATTAACGCATATAATATCATCAAATATTTATTTAAATACATCATCAACCTAATAGTGCACATAACATTATAAAATATTAATTTAGCAAGATAAGATAATTATAAGATTTAAAATCCAAATATCATGGTCCTGTCATAAAAAAAGACTAATAATAGTTCACAAAAGTTTGATCATAACAAGAATACATGACTCATAATAGTTCATATTGCACTACAGGAAAACAGGTTTCTAAACACGATATCTTATTCACAACCACGGGAAAATTTCATGTATTTAGTTGTATGTTTCTAATCACGGGGAATTATTTATCAGTTTTTAGTCTTCATTTTCCGTGATTAATACTTAGTCACGGTAATTCGTGTGAACTTTTAAGAATTTCTTTATAAATTATTTCTTTCAATTTTATGAGGGATACATTCTTTTTGCTTAAGATGTATTTTGGTTCCAAAATTTTCATTTTTGGTAGAATTGGCTCCAAATTTTCATTTGCTCCAGCGGCAACGTAACCCCCTCTTTTCTAAAATTTGGGCCGCCAAGCGCAAAAGAGACTTTGGTTCCAAATATTCTTTGGTATTTGGCTCCAAAATTTTTATTTTTGGTAGAATTGGCTCCAAGTTTTTATTTGCTCCAGCGGCAAAGTAGCTGCCTCTTTTCAAAAAATTTGGCCACAAAGCGCAAAAAGGAAAAACCTTAGTTCTCAAAAATTTTGGCCCGCAAGCCTCCAAATTCCAAACACATACTCGCTCTTTCTCTCTCTCTTTCTCCCTTCCCTGTACTTATCCTCAACTCAGCATGATGATTTGATTGGTCTTGAAGATTTCAGAGTTTATTGGTATTTAAACTAGTTTAGAAATCTTGTATCAGCATGATGATTTGGATAATTCTAGATGATTTCAATTTGGCTGGTGTTCATGCTACAAGAAAGATTATTTTCAATTGTGTTGATATTTGTTTTATTGACACTAATCTTATAACTTTGAGTAGTGATTCCTTTTTTTTGACAAGTATTGTGCTAGCTTCATATGTTACGATTTACGACTTACTAGTAATCACTAAAAACTAAAGCGATGTTCTGGTCCGTAAAACCCGCAACCCGAACCGCCCGACCCGCAACCCGATTAACCCGCACCCGATTGACCCGCAACCCGATTGGCCCGTAACCCGAGTAACCCGCAACCCAATCAACCCGATCGACCCGCAACCCAACCAACCTGCAACCCGAATGAACCCAGCCCGAACCCGCCCGATTGACACCTCTAGGCGAAACCAACATTGTGTTAGCTGTTGCGTAAGAAATTTTCTCAAGGCGTGCAGGTCGCGTCAAAGCTGGAATACTGCACATCAAGGGATTGGCCCGCGGTTTCCTTGCAATAGCTATCGGCCTTGACCAAGATTCCAAGAAAAGGATCAATCCTTCCCGATCCCGAGTAACCGAAATGACATAATCTCGAAGCATCCAATTCAATCACTCGCAACTCGTTCCAAGAAGACAGATCAAGCGACGAAAGTTTATCGTTATTGACAATCTTCAGTGTCTGCAATTTTGCGAATCCTCGGAGCCAGAGCGATCTAAAGACGGAGCTTTCAATATCAACTCATCGAGTTTACACTCCGTCAATAAGTTGCATTCGACGGCAGAGCCTGTTACAAAAAAAACCCCAGCAAAGTGTAGATTCTGATACAAAATAAAGATGAAACTGAGGGGTTCAAGTGAGTTCAATTCCACAGCAGAGGCTCTAAATTTCTTACTGTGATCTACTAGTTTCTTCAGATTTGGCATCAAAGATACCACAAATTCCCCTCCCAATGGGGCGTTAAAAATGTACAAGTTTTCCAGGGAGTCGACCCCTGTGATCTCCAGATCCTGCACAGGGCATTCCAGCCACAAGAATTTCGGATGAATTCCAAAAATATACATGTTTTAAAAAAAAATTCCCAAAATACACACGTTATAAAAAAAATTCCCAAAATACACATGTTTGGGCATTACCGCTGTTGTCAACCGCAGTGAATGCATTCACTGCGGCAGACCAAAGCGGTGAATGCATCATCGCAGTTGACGGCCGCGGTGATGGCCCGACTTAACTCTGAAACTTCAAACAAACGTAACTTTGCGCTCGGTTATCCGATTGTAGTGAATTTTTTTTTGATTCCATATAACTTTTCAAGATCTTTCAATCTGCAACTAGACTTCATCTCAAAAAAATGTCGTTTGTTACCCCGAACGAGCAATTTTTCAATTTTGCCAAACTTTGGAAGGACATAACTTTTAGCTCCTCAATCCGAACGTCGTAAAGTTTTTTTTTTATTGTGCATAACTTTTTAAGAACTACAATTTTGACTAGGAATTTTTTTTTTTAAAAATAAGTATTTTTGGGTATACGGGATTTTGGGAATAACTTTGCCTTTACTTTTCACAAATCCACATACTTTCCAAAATTATGGTTATAATCAAAGTTATAGTACTTCAAAAGTTATGCAAAATCAAAAAATGTTTCATGACATTCAGATTGTAGAGCACAAAGTTATGATCTTCCAAAGTTTGTTAAAATCGAAAAATTGCTCATTTGGGGTAGCAAATGATTTTTTTTTGGATGAAGTCTTGTTTCAGATTGAAAGATCTTGAAAAGTTATATGGAATAAACAAAAAATTTCGCTACAATCGGATAACCGAGCGCAAAGTTACGTTTGTTTGAAGTTTCAGTGTTACGTGATGCATTCACCGCGACCGTCAACCGCGGTGATGCATTCACCGCTTTGGTCTGCCGCGGTGAATGCATTCACTGTGGTTGACAACAGCGGTGATGCCCAAACATGTGTATTTTGAGAAATTTTTTTATAACGTGTGTATTTTGAGAATTTTTTTTAAAAACATGTGTATTTTGGGATTTTTCCCCAAGAATTTCAGGTTCAGAAGATTCCGTACCTGAAGCCTCCGAATCCCCACAATCGACAACAGAGTCAGCCTCTGCAACAGAGAGGAACCAGCAATCGACAACAGAGTCAGCCTCTGCAATGATACTGTTCAGAATTCAGTCTCCTCCGCGAACCGATCGAAATTGCAGTCGACCAAATTGAGAACTTTGAGGCGTAATTGGTAGCCGGGATTGGATCTGGGTAGCAATAAGCCCCGCGGGATGGTGTATATCCCCGACCCATCAAAACGGAGGGTCTGCTAGCATGAAATCTGGCTTGAATATCAATCTCTTGGGGCGGGGGGAGATCTCCTTGCAGCTAATTCCAACAAGTCATCGAGCAGAGCAGAATTGTACGGCCAACTCCTTTCGACGATTGAACTTGATTCTGACGGCTTGGATGGCGGTCAGGGCATCGCCGCTGGTAGAATCAAACTTTCTGGCGGTGGCGGAGGCGAATCTCTTCGTCGATAGCATCGATCTGAACTGGGTATCGTGGAATTCCAAAATTGGGTAAGATCGCTAGAGTTTGTTCCAGGACTTTGATTCATATGCTACTGATTAACAGGCTGATCGAACCCCTAGGTTTTCATGCATCTCCATTTTGAACAACAATGGAGCAAAAATAAGGAAAAACAAAATTAGAGAAACACACTAGGACAACAACCATACCCATATCCACCACAAAACAGAGCCAACAAGAAGAGTTATAGATGATTACATGAACACCAACAAAACGAAATAATAAGCAAATTGTCTAGTAAACAAGAGAAGAAGCAAATAACAAAAAAAAAAAAAAAAACGTCAAAAAACAAAGCTATAGCTAGCTACAACATCAATGGGCGCCCTCTCATGTCTCTTATCCATTAATGAGCACTCCACTCCCGCCGCCAACAACAACAACCTCGCCGCCGACCACTTCCATCTCAGCCTCCTCCTCCTCCTGCTGAGGCTGCTCATCAACAACAACAACCGGTGGCGCCAAAACCAGCGGAGGCGAAGGTGGGTCAGGGATAGTCTCAAGCGTGATTGTAGATTGATGTGGAACCAGATTTGGGTCATACAGACTGTAGTAGTCCATGATGATTAAGTGTAGTACCTATTTTGTATCTCAGGGTTAGGGTTTTTCGAAAGGATAGGATAGAGAAGGAAGAAAGAAGAACAACGTTTTACCTTTGGCTCCCTTTGTAAATTTGCCTTTTTCCCTCCCCGGAAACAAAGAGATCGAGCAGGAATAATTCTTCTCTTGGGATTGGATTTCTGATTGTTAAGTACATAGAGAAACCCCCCTATATATACTACTAAGTACTAACCAAAGTAAAAATTACATTTCCTTCCTTCACACGGACGGAGAAAAAAAGGGTTTTATTTCTACAATGAGAAAAAGGTTGGGCACGTGGCAGGAGTTTTTCAACGACGAACCTTTTTCCGACGAAGACAAATTGTTTGTATTGGGTCTAGATATCTCACAGATCTCGATTTGGGGTGCACATATCAAGATGACTTCCTATAAGGTCACTGATCATTCTTGGGGTGCTCCACAACGAGCACGTTTAACTTCGGAGTTCTCACAAGATATCGTAGGACCAAAGATCGGGCCAATAAAAGTTGTGTTCCACAAAATATTCATATTATTAGGTTTATCCTGACATAAAAACTAATAACATTCATAAAATTATCCATATTGTTCATTTAAGATACAAAATGATATCGTTTTACTTTATGGGTGCGAATTAGGTGGAAAACCGTAAATTTCTCAACTGATCCAGAATAAGTCAATACTGGGTTTTACACGCTTTAACTTGATTGTGTCGGGTTGGATATCCACGAGTTCAGGCTCAATCGCCATTACTAATTATGAGACATTTTGGTTAGTGGCCTCCAATTTTAATCACGAGGTTAAAGTTCGATCTCTATCTATAGGAATGCAACTTATTTTATAGCGAATTCACCATTTTGTATGATAGTAGCCTCATCAAACCATCCCAAACATTTCAAGGTTTTATGGCGACGGATCGGTTTGGTTTGGACCAAATATTAGAGAGAATACAATTTCCCCCTTCTAACTAATAATGCTATTAGTGAAATAAGACATACATGACATTAACAGTAAGTAACAAAATTATGAAATTTCAAAAACTTTTGGGGTTTCGATATTTCTATGATTAGGATTACCGATCAATAAAGTAATTAGAATAGTTCAAATTTATCTTTTCAAACCCTAATTTTCTTCGTTCAACCTAAATAGTAATCAATAGTTTTTTCTAATCTTCCCCAAATCTTCGTCTAGTTCTCTCCCTATTTCTATCCATGATCATCCGATTACCTCAAATCCATATACTAAACTCCATACTCACAACAACCCACACCAAGAAAAGCAGGCTGATCGAACCCTAGGGTTTCAAGCATCACCACTTTGAACAACACGTGAGCAAAAATAAGGAAAAGCAAAATTAGAGAAACACACTAGGACAACAACCATACCCACAAAACAGAGCCAACAAGAGTTAGATGATTAAAAAAACACCAACAAAACGAAATAATAACCACATTGTCTAGCTAGTAAACAAGAGAAGAAGCAAAAAAAAAAACGCCCAAAATCAAAGCTTGCTAGCTGCAAACACATCAATGGCGCCCTCTAAAGTCTTATCCATCAATGGGCACTCCCTCCACAGGAACCACCATCGCCACCGTTGCAACTCCATTCCGGCTGCCAGCAACAACCTCGCTCATGGCGACTTCCCAAGGTAAAGCTAAGTGCAACTCAAGAAACCTTGTTAGAAGATCCAGAGCAGTACAAGAGGTTGGTAGGGAGGCTGCACTATATTACAATCACAAGGCCATATCTTACATATTTAGTCCAACAACTATGCCAGTTTCAGAAGCAACCATACACAGAGCACTTGCAAGGAACATTTAGAGTGTTAAGGTATCTAAAATCAAGTCTAGATCAAGGCATACATTTCATCAGTGATGTAGATTTGAAACTTGTGGGATTCTGTGATTCTGATTGGGCAAGTTGCCCTGACACTAGAAGGTCTACCACTGGCTATTGTACTTTCCTAGGGAAGTCCTTGCTCACCTGGAAAACAAAGAAGCAGACAACTATGTCCATGACTTCTTCAGAGGCAGAATACAGGGCATTAGCACTATTAGTGTGTGAAGTTGATTGGCTGAGAGTGCTGTTTGCAGAAATGAATGTCCAAATTCCATTACAGTGGCTGTGTACTATGATAACACGTCTGCAATTCATATTGTATAGAATCTTGTCTTCTATGAGAGGACAAAACACATTGAGATAGACATGCTTGTTACCAGGGAGAGAATCAAGATGGGTTTGATTAAGTTATTCCATGTTAGTACCATTAATCAGCTGGCTGATGTGTTTACTAAAGGTCTGGACAGGATAAGGCTCAAGGAGCAGCTTTGCAAGTTGGGAGTGACGATGCCATCCTCAACTTGAAGGGGGCTGTCAACTAATATTGATGTCCAGAAGAATAAGGAAGGACGAATCCTGAAGATGCAAGGATTGCTATACTGAAGATGAAGGCGTTTCTGTATGTGAAATGTTTCTTTATGTATTTAATCTTAAACCATCAAACTACATCGTTTTAGCTACAGATGGTTAGCCGTTGTTTAAATACGTTTACGGTCGTAATATCCTATAAGACTAAGACACGTGGACTAGCGGGCTAATTTGAATTAACTGCCTGATATATATACCAACGCAGACCTGAGAAATGATTTGAGGGTTCTGCTTTCTCTATAAACAGATTGAGAAATCTCATAGGGTGATTGTTGTTGGGATTTCTTCCAGGTCGCAATCATAGAGGACTAACGACCTTACGCCTCGCAAATGAGTATATATGTCGAGATCAATAGCACCGCCGCTTCTTGCTATAAAGCTACGCAAATATTCACTACGATTTGTTGAAGAAAGGCAGGAACAACCGATGGAAGTAATGAGTTTGTTGGTTTCTTCACTCAAATGTTCTACCATTAAATGACGAACCTCATTGTTGATGGAGAGTAGGGAACTGTTTGTGTCTTGCTTCGGGATGTTGATGCACTCGTTCTTGGTTGTGAGCCGGGCAAAATCATAAACCAAATCATGCATCTTGCAAAATGTTTTCCCCTTGCCCCACTGCCACTCCTTTTCCAAATCTTAAAAGAATGAGCGCATAACTAACATCTGAAAGTACTCTTCGCCGACTTCCTCTACATTTTGGTTCAATGTTGGTTTGAGAAAACCCTATGACATCCACAACTTAATCAGCTCGTCCTTTTCCATTTTGTAATCCTGGGGAAATATAGCACAAAACAGAAAGCATTGTCTAGTCGCCGAAGGCAAATCATAATAACTCAAAGCTAGAGGAGCAAGAACTTCTTCTTTGCATTCCTTCATCTACCACATTTCACTTTGCATAAGCTTAACCCAATCTCTTTTAGATCTTTTCTCATGTAGAACTCCTCCCAAAACTTTTACTGCAAGAGGTGAGCCAAAACACTTCTCTACTACTCTCCCACAGAGATCCTGTACACGTTCTTTCTCCTCGTCACTCCATCCATAAAATGCAATTTGTGTGAAAATGACCCAACATGCATCCTCAATTCCTCATATATCTTCTGTATGTGCAAAATATCATCGTCCATACAACGAAATACTCGAGACACCTCCCCTTTCGTGTAGTCACCAAGATCTTGCTTCCAAGTAATCCATGAGAAATAGAACTCATTATTTCTTCCCACTTGCTCTAACTATCTTCCCACACATCGTCAAGAACTAGAAGAAACTTCTTGCCCTTCGTATGCGTGTTTATCTCCACCAACATGTGTGACAACGTACTGCCTGATGTATATTGGTTAAAAGATTCAAGTATGGCTTTGGCGACTGTTTCTGCATCAAAATTTGCAGACACATAGACCCATATCCTTTTGTCGAAATGCGCTTCCACTGCCTTAACATTGTACAACATCTTGGCTAATGTGGTTTTCCCAAACCCACCGGGGTATTCGGTGGACATCCTTCTCACATCCGGACAATTACTTCCATCATCCAGCAACTTGAGCTGCAATACTTCTAACTCCTGTTCTCTCCCTTTCACCTCAGACAAAATTTATATTTGGACCGGTTTGCAAAATTGAATATGAAGTCGTCTGGTACTAAAATTGTGCAAACTTTTCTCCTTATCAATATCGTCCAGACGTTCATTCAGATATTTAATTCGCGAGGCAATATCATAATGAAGATCAATTTCACCGACAGAGAAACAATAAGCAGGGAGAAAAGGAAATACTCGTTTCAGGACATGAAGATCTGAAGCAACTTCAACTCCAAGCAGCCATGTCGAAGAACATCATAGTCTCCCTCGAGCTGACGCTTGAGGATCTCGGTTCTCCACTCGTCCAGCACATCATCGATCTCGTAGGACACATCCTTGAGCTTCTTCAACCAGTCTCGGACGCTCTCATCCTTCATTTGCCTCTCCTCTGCATCCAGCAGCAGAGCTTCAATGGTGGTGAAAGTAGAAGTGAGCTTCTTGACATCTTTCTCTGCACCCACAACGAGCCTCCCACGTTGCTTCACCTCTTCACTGATGATCGAACCCTGCTGGTTCAGAACTTGGGAAACAATGGCAGCCATGGTGATTGGAAACTAATGGCAGTACCAATTAATCTCAGCCATAGGCGGACCCAGGGGAGTTTGTTTTTGGAAAACGATTATCTACCCCTAGATGGTAATTTATTTATGGATAAAAAAATTATAATTGATTGTGCGGGACAATACTAATATTCAAACCTAAGACAATAATAATATTAATAAACATAATTTTCATTAGGCTACAACTCATTTGTAGTTCGATTTTAAACACTGTGTAATAGTAAATTGTCATTCCCTATCTCTAATTATTTTTCAAAACCTAACAATTAAACTAATTTCAAACTACTCTTAAGTTGTATAAATTTTATGGTTGTATGACAAGTGTTGAAAGAGTCTTTTCGGCTTTGGGTTACATCAATAACAAGTTTAAGAATCAAATTATGTCTATCAGTTCGTGAATGAGACAATTTTTTTGAGCGGTGTAGACACCAGGCATTGTTGACCCCTACCTCGCAGAACTTCTTGCAGCTCGAGACGCTATCTCCCTCTTGGTCTCCAAGTCCCTTCCTTGTGTCATCATCGAAGGTGATTCAGAAGTGGTGATTCGTCAGCTTCGCCAGGGCTTTTCTTCAGATTCCCTCGGAGGTCCGGTGCTACGTGATTGCTTCCAGCTCTTGTCTTCAGTTTCTGTTTCCTTAGAGCTTAGGGAAGTTCCTAGAACTGCTAACGGGGCTGCCCATAGAGTGGCGCTGAAAGCCCTGTTACTTTCTCCTCTTGAGTTCGGTTCCTTCGACTTTGTAGGGTGGCTTCACTGATGTATTGGTTTCGGAGGGGTTTGGGGTAGATTGTATAGTTTTTTCTCTCTTGACATTTCTTGGGGAAAAAAAAGACACCAAGTGTATTCTATAATTATTTTCGAATATGAAACACTTTCGTGAAATATTTTCCACTTCGTATGAGTAAGTTATTTCTTATTTAATAATTATTTATTTATTTAATAATTTATTTTTTAAAAGAGGACACCACTATATAAAATTCCTGGATCCGTCACTGATCTCACGAAAGCAAGGTTGTCAACCCGGGGGTCGACCCGGACCCGGTCGAGCTAGTGGGTCAAGGGTTAATGGGTCACCCGTTTTAGCCCGCTTTAGCCCGGATTAACCCGTTTGTAACATTTTAAAAATTATAGAAACATGATGCAATAAGTTTATATTTCAAGGAGTAGGAATATAATTTAATTTAAGGTATCATTTAGTAAATCACCACCCCATCTACACACCCTTCATTTGTTTTTTTTTTTGGTAGAACACCTGTAACATCCCGAACCTTTTCCCGACAAGATACTGTCCGCTTTGGGCCTCTACACCCGCACGGTTTTCGACTTGGGGTGCAATTCAGGGTGACTTCCCATAAGGTCACCCATCCTTGTTGTACTCCACACTGAGCACGCTTAACTTCAGAGTTCTCACAAGAACTCCTCCGTTACACCCCAAAACGCGTCTTGTTAGTTAATGTCGGTTTCTTACTTATGAACCATGGATCTCTCCCGTGCTTTGTCGATGTGGGATTTGCCTAAGGTGTTACATACACCCCCCCCTTGGGACTCAACGTCCTTGTTGAGGTTTGCCCCACCATCGTTCAAGAGGGACGCGGAAAGGCTCTGATACCACTTGTAATATCCCGAACCTTTTCCCGACAAGATACTGTCCGCTTTGGGCCTCTACACCCGCACGGTTTTCGACTTGGGGTGCAATTCAGGGTGACTTCCCATAAGGTCACCCATCCTTGTTGTACTCCACACTGAGCACGTTTAACTTCGGAGTTCTCACAAGAACTCCTCCGTTACACCCCAAAACGCGTCTTGTCAGTTAATGTCGGTTTCTTACTTATGAACCATGGATCTCTCCCGTGCTTTGTCGATGTGGGATTTTCCTAAGGTGTTACAACACCCTTCATTTCTTTATTCCAAGTTCCAACCGCACTCTCTCCAAATCAATTCTCTTTCCTTTTCTTTAAAAAATCCCTTGTTTACCAAAAAAAACATTCATTTAATTCTATCTGCAACTACTTTATTCCCCATCCTAATTTAAGTTTACTTAAAATTGGAGAAGTTAGACGTTTCATTAAAAACCCTAGGCCCAATTCACTGGCCGCCCTCCCCCATTCCTTCGATCCAATCCCTAAAACAAACGTTGCGGCGTTGCCTTCTTCAATCGAATTACAGGGTGTTTTGAGGCGAAGAGCAGCTGTTACAGCTTGAATCGCATCAAATCGCAAAAAAACTTTGTTTGAATCATCGATGCTCCCATGACCTCTATTCCCTCTTCACCTCCGCTACTCTCCTTTCATCACCCAGTTATGGTCTTGTTGGAGGAGGAAGAAAGTGAAAGGCACCAGCAGTGTCGATGGATTGCGCCGGCGACGTGGACGATGGAAGGATTCCTAGGACCGGCGAAAGCTTGCTGCTGCGACTGCGTCTGCTGCTAGGAACAATGCCATCGGCCTCCAACCCGCAAACCGTCACAACCGGGTTAACCGTCCGGGTTTGCCGAGTTTTGACCGGGTCAAGGTGGGTTTGACTTTTCTGGGCTAACCCTTAGACGGGTGAATGGCGCCCATTTTAGTGTCCGGGTCAGGGTCAAACCAGGTCAACCCGCGGGTCGACCCGCGGGTTGACAACCTTGCACGAAAGTAAAGTAGAAGAACCCATTTCATCAGCTAGCTTTATGGCCTCGTGATTCAGAATATAGCTAGCTTTATGGCCTCGTGATTCAGAATATTTTAATTAAGTCAATAATTAATCGTTTCTTTGCGTTAATTGCGATGAACTTGTCACTAAGCGCTGCAAGTTGATCCCTGCAATTTATATATTACCTGCAAATCAAACAATTAATTAAGTCAATAATAATTAATCTTATATCTGCGGCAGTGTTAGTTCCAATGAATTTGTCACTAAAGAGCTGCAAGTTGATCCCTGCAATTTATATGTTGCGCAAAGTTATCAAACACGTACATCTACAAGGAATTTTACAATGTTATATAGCATTGGTGCTATAGGTTTTTGCCTTTATGGTATAATTTGAAATTGTACCTTTAACGTTATGGTACAACTTCAGATTGTACCTATACTTTTTGTACAAATTCTTTTATGGTACAACTTAAACTTGTACCTTATATGATGGTACAACTTCAAGTTGTAAAGTTGTACCATAACATAATGATACAAATTCCTTTATGGTACAACCTAAACTTATACATTTAATGTTATAGTACAACTTCAAGTTGTACATTAAAGCACCAATGCTATATAGCATAGTAGAAGTGCTCCTACATCTACTAAATTTCTCCCCCCCCGGTAATTAGGCTTTTATTGATGCTCCCTTTAACCAAATCGGTAAAGGCAGCCAAAATACAAAGACATAACGTCCACAAAACATCAAATAACTTCTGCACTCTATCTAAATAAACTTCCTCCAAAAAGGAATCACTTGCATTTCCATACGAAATTGATCATTTCCCAACGAAAGTAACAGAACATCCCGCTTCATCTGTGCAAACAGCTGCTGTCATGGACGTTTAACTCCTTCAAAATGACGTCTGCATCGCTCCTGCCATATCAGACCCACAAGCCAGCTCCACAAGACAGCAAAACAACGTCCCTGGGCACCTCCCCGCTTTGCAACTGGACTGGCCTCCTGCAGGAATCCCTCCCAATCGCTCGGCCAACTTATAGCCATCCTGCCAAAAAGTTCAGCAAACAACTTTGTACTATAATGACATTCACAGAACAAATGACTTCTAGTCTCACCCACTCTCGAGCAAAGGAGACAAGTATCATCTGTGATTCTGCCCCAATCCTTCAGCTTATCCATCGTAGTGATTCTATTGAGAATGACCAGCCATGCAACAATACGAAATCTTGGGATCACATACTTACTCCAAAGAAGCTGCCACCATGGCACAACAGGACGCCTCACTCGAATAGATTTCCACACTTGCTGCACCCTGAACTTAAGCATAATCTGCCCTTCCCAAAACACTTCATTCTGGGCATTCCTAGTCATCCGAAACTGAAACCATCCACGCAACTGTAAAAGCTTGCGCCAAATCCATGAACCAACAGAAGAAAGAGGAAGTTTGAAATTTAAGTTCGGTCAATACAAGCAAAATCGAGTCTGACAAATCAATGAATAAATACAAACAAAATCGAGTCCGACAAAACTAGAAGACAACTAATTGACCGAACTTAATCACATATCAATACAAGCAAAATTTGCGTTTCTTTACCAATTTACCAAGAGACGAGCATACATCCATTGAAATGCCCATCATTTTGTCTTCGTTTTCTACTCTTATTCTGTCGTTTTTAACTCTTTTTATAATCTTCATATCTCTTAGTTGATGGCGCCAACACTTGCACCCGATTTCACAATGATTGTTATTTGAATCTCTCTCCATAAACTGCTCGCATATATACTGTAAACAAACAGAAGAACCAACCAAATCATAAAAAGAACTAAGCCCTATCAGATAAGGGTTGAGGTTGGGCTAGGGCAAAAAATATAGTTGAAATGGATTTTGATAAACTATTAAAAGACCATACCTTAGGAGCGCATAAGTTGTCTTCCATTGACGAGTGATATGATTCTCGAGTGAAACTTAAGTAACTAGGATGGAAATTTTGGAACAAGTTGTCAGAAAAAGCATTCTTGTCAAGTAATCTTGAGAATTTCCATGAGATTTTCACATTTTCTATTGTTGGAGTATGTATCTCTTTGCAAGGTTCTTTCCAGCGAAACTGAATATGATACACAAATAAAGCACAAAATAAAAACAAAATCTATTGTTAGTCTCGTGAAAAAAATTTAAATAGACTTGTTTTAGTACTATATGGTGATGCGAAGCAAAACATATTCCATCAATAGAAAGCAAAAACGTAGTACCATTAGTGGAATTGGACAAAAGATAAGTAAGTTCACATACCTCATAACTTAGTAGTAAATCGAATTCAAGAGTCACGTGTAACCAAAACCGCTCTTGTCGTGCAAGAAATTTTCTCAATTTGTGGAAATCGTTTCGGTCGGCGTTGGCATAAGAGTATTCCACATCAAGAGATCGGCCAGCTTCTTTGTAATGGATACCGACCTTATCTAGTATTCTCAAAAAAATATCAATCCTTCCAGAATATTTGAAACGAGTTAATCTTGGAGCATTCATTTCAATCACCCGCAACTCATTCCAAGAAAGCAGAACGACATTCGAAAGCTTATCGGTATCGACGATCTTCGATTCACGTACTTGGGCAAGACCTTGGAGTGTAAGCCACTCTAGAGACGGAGCCTTTGAGATCAACTCACCAAGCTCACACTCGGTCAATTTGCAAGCTTATGAAACTAGGAACACAAAATAGGATTTTGTTAACAAAATAAAGATGAAACTAGTGTGAGTATAATTTGTCGGGAAAAAGGCGCTGAATTTTCTTACCGAAACAGCCCCTTACTTCTAGGTATTTCAGCTTTGGTATCAAAGACACTAGGGGTGGCAGCCGGTCGGTTTCGGTTTAACCGAAAACCGAAATCTCGTTTTTCGGTTAAACCGAGACATGACCAACCGCTACCGTCGACCGACCGTCCCAACAGCCTCAGTTAGCCGCAAACCGACCAGCCGGTTTTTGGTTTAGGTGTGGTTTAACCGGGGCAACCAAAAAATGTGAAGGGTGGTTCGGTTTAGCTGCCTAACCGACCGGTAACCGCCAAAAATCGACCTCTTGTTAGGTAAGATTAAAAAATTAAAAAAAATTGAAAGAAATACAGAAAAAAATTGTAGCCACACATTCCTTATCTTCTTCCTCTTCTCTCCTCTCTCTTTTACGCACTGACCTAGAATTGAATCGTAATCGAATCCCTCGAGGGGGAGGCCGGAGAGGGAGCGGCCGGTGATCCTCTGGAGGGCCTCGCGGCGGATGGTGGCGGCGCGCTTGCAGTCCCCCAATTTGGATTCGAGGGAGTAGGAAGGTATGGCGCCGAAGACGACGGATTGGACGACCTCCACGTCGTTTTGGGGAAGTAATAATTCAATTGGGGCGGCGGCTAGCTCATGAGTGGCGGCGGCGGGGATTGCGCAATTTACGGATTGGGGGGAGGCGGCGGTGAATCCTCCTTCAACAGCGACGTCGTCGTCGGGGCTGAGGAGGAAGGACTGGACGAATTGGATGCCGAAGAAGCCGAGGAGGTAGACGAAGGAGGTGAGGAAGGCGAGGATTTCGGAGAAGGTGAGGAGGTGGAGAGAGGTTTGAGTGCGGATCTTGTCACTCCAGCGGGGGAGGAGGAAGTAGACAGCGGAGAAGAAGAGGACGAGGAAGAGGGCGTTGGTGAGCTGGAGTGGGAGGGGGAGGGCGTCGGAGGCTCTGCGCTGACTGTCGTCTTCTTGGCGGTGGTGGGCGGGGCGACGAGGTGGAGGTGGAGGGCTGGAGTGGCGATGGATTTGGGAGGACTGGAGGAGGAGGGCTGAAGAGGGAAGGGGACTGTCTGAGCGGCGATGGATTTGGGAGGACTGGAGGAGGAGAGAGTCGACACTTAGGGACTAGGGTTAGTGGGGCTGAAGCGGGGTCGTTTTGGGGAAAGGGAAGGGGTCGATTAGCCGGTTAACCACCGATTTCCGACCCCGGTTAGTCGGCTAGCCAAATCCCTGCCCAAGACCACCGCTAACCGACCGAAGCAATGAGAATCGGTTTTTTGGTTAGCCAAAAACCGGTCAATTCGGTTGAAATCCTCCGGTTAACTGCTAACCAAAAACCGTTATGCCACCCCTAAAAGACACCACAAAATCACATCCAAAAGGCGCACCACAGATGTACAAGCTTTCCAGAGATCGAGGGGACCCCTGTAATCTCCGGATCCTGAACAGGGCCTTCAAACCACAGGTAGTTCAGGTTGGGAAGATTCCGGACCTGAAGCCTCCGAATCCCCACAATCGACCGCAGAGACAATGTCTATAAGAGAGAGGCTCCCGCGATCAAACTATTCAGAATCCGGCCTCCGCCGAGGAAGCTAACGCGGTGGAGAGAGAGATGCCTGAAGGAGCTACCAAGGTCCACGAAGTGGTTACTATCAAAATTTGACATCCTTGAACTGATCGAAATTGCAATGGACCAATCTGAGAACTTTGAGGCGAATTAATTGGATGCTGGGATTGGATCTGGGCAGAATTAAGCTCCGTGGGATGGTGTATGTCCTCGAACCATCGAAATCCAAGGATTCGAACTCGTCAATGTTGTAATCGAAGCGGGCTTTAATGTCGATCTCTTGCAGCGGGGGAGATCTCTTTATAGCCATCTCCAACATGTTATCAAGGAAAACAGATCAGAATTTTGGGTCGACCCAGGTGACGTCGGTCGGCCTTCCAAACTTGTCAAATTCAATCCTGATCGCTTCCACGGCGATCAGAGTACCGTTACTGCCGGCGCCGAACTTTTTTGGTGGCGGATTCGGCGAATCTCTTCGCCGATTGGATCGACGGGAACTGGGTATCGTGGAATTCCAGGACTGGGTAAGATCGCCAGAGGTCGGCCCATCTTTGAGACAGGACGCTGGTTTTTGCATCTTCTTTTGAGGGTTCTACGCGAGCGAGGATCTTATGGATGATCTCGTCGGGTAGCTGCGATATCCGGTCTGTTTCTTGTTCGCCGATGTCGGCCGTTGATGTCGGGATTTGGTTGGATTCTCCTTCGCCTTTGGTCTCCACGCGACGACGTTTCTCCATCGTTCAGGGACGGATGGAGAAAGGGAAAAAGAAGAAGCACACGACACGACACAGTTTTTTTTTTTTTTTGGTGAAAAGACACACAGGGTTTTTTATTCTAATGCTATTGGGTTTTGGGTTTTGTTGTTGCATCCCAAAGTTTCGATTGGTCAGACCTAATCCTCCCAATCATATTCAGGAAGGGAAAATAGATTGGTTTATCCAATCAGCAACCACGAAGAGTGAGATATATGGATGACAATTTTGACCTGACTCGTTTTACTAGATTTGTTTGCCTTGTTTTGGACTAGTTCGACTCACCCTTTAGGCGGGGCGTGACAGGCAGACGTGAGTATTCTCTTCGATACAACCTGTTCTGACCCGCCCTATTCTTGACATGTTCTTGTCTAAATTACAGGCAATCTTAGTCAAATTACTTAGAATTTTTCCTTTTATTACATAATATTTTAGCTATAATAAATTTGTAAATTAGGGAAAACTTCAACTTCTTCAATAATTTAACTACATTTATCATATTATGGCTTGTTTCTTGAAAATAACGAATATTTCTAATGTTTTTCATATAAATTACATACCCATTGGGTCGACCTGCTCTGACTGCGCCCACGTCAAATTACCCGACCTGCCTACCCCGGACCTGCCCATTGTCATTCCTAGTGGGATATAATCATATAAGGATGATAATCTGTTGGATATTAGATCGTAATTGTTCATATATCATATTTTTTCTTCCGGAAAAAAAAATATGAGGTCCTAATTTAAATAAATATCATACATTATATTGAATGAAATCTAAAAGTAACGAATTTGTAGCATTTTATAATTGCTGAGAGATTAAGACAATTCATACAAACACTCTCAATTTATTATCCACAACATTGGTATATATTTTTGTTAGGGAGCTACTTATATTATTATAAGATAATTATATTAGTTGCATGTAATGTTAAGGGCTAACTATGAGTTGATTATTAAGTTTTATTCCTTATATGTATTATAGATTGATGCATTAAGAGGAGATTTTTTTCTCAATTAATAATGTTATATGTTATACCGTTCCCACCGAAGCGCAACGACGTAGCTCAAAGCCTCAAACAAGTCCATATATGAGGACTTTTTCCAGAAATACCACTGTTTAAAAAAAGAATTCCAAAAATACCACCCAACCCCAAAAAATTCCAAAAATACCACCTTTTTCAAAAATCGCCACCCCACCCTGCGGTTTACACGAAAACCGCTGGGCGGGGGCGCGGTTTTCTATGCAAACCGCTGGGCTAAGGGGCAGTTATAAAATAAAAAAAATATTTGGACCAAACCGCTGGGTGGGGTGGCGGTTTAGCCCAAAACCACCACCCCACCCAGCGGTTTGGTCCAAATTTTTTTTTTTTTGTCGATCAACTCCTAACTTCGGCCGAAACTTCAAACGAACGTAACTTTGCACTCGGGTATCCGATCGTCGCCACTTTTTTTTCATTTCGCATAACTTTTCAAGATTTACAACTTTTACAAGGATGAAATTTTCAAAACAGGAATTAGTTGTGGATATATGGGACCTTGAGAATAACTTTACCTTTACTTTTCACAAATCCATGTACATTTTGAAATTATGATTATGTTAAAAGTTGTAGATCTTGAAAAGTTATGCGGAATAAAAAAAATTCATGACGTTCGATTTTGGAGCACAAAGTTATGGCCGCCCAAAGTTTGACAAAAGGCGAGACCAGGCAGTTTGCGGCTTGCAAGATCTTAAAAAGTTTGCGGCCTCCATTTTTTGAATCCGAATAAATTTTTGAGATCTTGCAAACCGCCGGGTCCCGCCTTCGTCTCGAAAAAACGTCATTTGCCACCCCGAACGAGCCTTTTTTTGATTTCATCAAACTTTGGGCGGCCATAACTTTGTGCTCCGAAATCCAAAAGTCGTGAAATTTTTTTTTTTTTTTATTCCGCATAACTTTTCAAGATCTACAACTTTTAAAATAATCATAATTTCAAAATGTACATGGATTTGTGAAAAGTAAAGGTAAAGTTATTCCCAATAGGGATGGCAACAAAACCCGAACCCACGGGTACCCACCCGACCCAACCCGGTCAACGCGGGTAAAACTCATGTTAACGGATTTTGGGCCGGGTTCGGGTTTAAACCCGCTGTAGACACCACATTTTGTCCGGGATATTCGTTTTAATGAAAATAATTATTGTCATGTCGTACTACGATTATATTTAAAAAGAAGTTGAAGATAGTTTGGTTGGGACTAGCAGTTGCAAGTCAATATGAACCAACAATTATTAAATTTGCTCCTAGTCGATTCTAGGGCATAATTAGTTAATTAGTTAAGATAAGATCGATTTAAGTTAAGATTAGCAGTGGCAGATCTTAAATATAAATTCTCAATTGGATGGAAGAAATGGCTATAGTGCAAAGTTTGTTGTACACTTTGGATTTGGATTCGGCATTTGAAATGGGACTAATCGAATAGCGGAATGAGCTTTATAATCAAAGATGCAAAGTCGATACATAGTTACAATGACTAACATTAACTCTACAAAATTAGGCACCAATCAGATCAAGACCTTGCTATTTCCATTGGGCCCAAAGCCAAAACAACCTGCAAAATGAAAAAGAAAGCTCAAGTACAAGCCCAAACTCAGATTCAAAGTCTGGCCCAAGTCTATCCCATACTCAGATTTAAAGACAGGCTAATTCTAGCCCATAGTTCGGGCCCAGATGTGAAGAAACCAAATCGGGCCCAACTCGGCCCAACTCGGTCCAACCCAACCCAAGCCCAGACAACCTAAAATTGTGTGCCAAGCCTATCCTGAACAGTCCCTGATCAGTCAGAACCGACCAAGCAAGGTGGAGGCTATTGGGGCAGCCTCAAAATTCGACCCATCAGAAAGAACCACGGCATTTCAAGTCTTAACAGAGACTAATGGCGAAACGACACGTGGCATACGATTTAGCTATAAGTAGAGCTCTTCAGCTCTTGATTTTGGGGGGGGAACCAGGAGAAAAAAAGAAGAGAACAATATACAAAAAATAGAAATTTTTACATTTCAAACAGTTTTTCGGTTCTTGCTCTTAGCCGAAGTTCATTGGAGGGAACAGCGAGATTGAAGGAGCAAATTTAAAGATTGACGCAGGAAAAGGCCATTCTTAGGCCTAGAAATTCAGGTTGGTACCAGTATCAACTTCCATCTTTCAATTTTTATCAAGTCATTAGAATCAATTACCAATGATGTTATGATCATCCATCTACTTGCCTTTTTATACGCAAGCATTTTATTTTACAAGCACCACTCTATTTACCAAAGATCTGCTAGTATCAGTTTCTTCAAGCTCCTTCATCCAAGTTTTCTAAATGATATTATTAGCTTTGTGTATGCTATAACTATTATGCCGATTAACTTAACCATGAGTGAAGTCAGATGCTTCGTTTTAACTTTCTGCCATGTTGATTTCCCACACTAGTAGCCACACGTATGCGAATTAAAGTACAACTTAATAATACATTTTTAACAATTAAAAAAAACCACTTTTTAGAAGTCCATGGATCAACCTAGATCCGTACCTAACAAAAATCACCCACATAACATAAATTTCAGATTTCAACATCCACGACAAAATCATAAGCAGTAGCAATGATTTATAGTACCTAGTCTAGCAAAATCACGGGCAGAGGCAGTGATTTACAATCACCAAAATTAGCAATTTTAGGGCCATTTAATTACTTAACCCATTACAAAAACTTCTTTTTCTTTTTTAGCAAATTCCAACATAACAAGATTTGCATCTAAATCCATTCCACCAAACACCAAAATTATCGAACTCATAAATAACCATTTTTATTGAAAACCCAGATCTGCAGTCAGAAACCCATTTTTTTGTTTCCAAAATCACACTAAACTGAGTTTAGAAACCTTACCCAAACTTGTCAAATTCAAAACCTGCGCAGAGACCATAATCGATTAAAGCCAATACCAGTCAAGAAAAGATAAAAATTTAATCGAACCAATCCTCACCTGCTGCCGGCGTTGTCAACTCATCGCCGGCGGAATTTTGCCGACAGGGATCTTAGCAGCCAAAGATTCCCTTCTTCTCCTCCACCCAACCAAAAAAAAAAAACTATTAGAACCCTAAAATTCCTTAAAATCAACAAATAAAGCGAAAGAAAATAACATGCAAGCAAAATCCCTAACTGGATCGACATGCCTCTAGTCGATTGATTTCGATTCAGGTCGTCATCTCGTTTTGTCGCGGCCGTGGGCGGCTTGTGGTGAGTTTTAGGTTTTCGTTTCCTTGGGGCAGAGGCGAGAAACAGAGAGCTCGAGAGGTGAGGATGACGGCGGCCAGGCTTGGCTATGGTTTCGCTTGTCTCTGTGAGTGAAGAAGAGAGAGGAAAGTTAGAGAGAGTTGAGAGAAGAACGAGAGAGAGAGAGAGAGGTGAGCGGCGGCCGATTTGGTCTATTAGGGTTAGGTTTTTCTTTTTTTTTTTCCGTTTAAGACGTTTATATATCTTTCCAAAAGACCGAAATGCCCCTAGGGTTTTCAGCTTATCTCGCAGCCATGCCACCGCGTTTTTGTGGAATTACCAAGATACCCTTCCCCTTTGCTACATCAAAAACGAAAATCCCAAATTTGTTGAGACCGGGTTTCGAACCCGCGTCCTCAGACACGAAAGCGCTAAATTTAGAGCCTTAGCCAGTTGGCCTGCTGGCACATCATGCATTAAGCTAATCATTCTGTTTAATTTTAGCATTTGAAATCCTTAATACGAAAAGTTGAATACGGATCAAGTTTATATTGCTTCTTTTATAATACGCCAAAACACTTCCTAATAACTAAAATACTTGCATTTATTTTCATAACCTTATAATAATCTAAATGAAGTTTTACTAACAAAATTCTTAATGCGAGAATCACGATCAGTGGAACGTGGTTACAACTAAATTATCAAAGTTCTAACGAACTACGTGGACTTTGATCCCGTCTAACGGGTACG